ACTAGTTGGAACCAAGAAAAAAAATTAGCTGAAGAGACAAAATAGTTACAGTATTTTCTTTATTATTATTCAAAGGAAGAAGTTAGAAGAATGTTTCCAGTTTGATTTAACGGAATAGAAAGAAAAAAAATGGATAATGGAGGATTGAAGTTAGAAGACGTAAGATTTGATTGGACCAGAATAGGGAAAGCAGCTGTAGTTGATAAAGAAGGTTCATGCTCCTTTAACTATGCATAAAACACTCCCCTCTTCCCGATACTGTTATTTTTAAATATTTGCATGAATTTTGGAAAGTTGATGGGCCAAATCCTCATATGTAATTGTCTCAAAAAAGGTGTCATGTATATCTTGCTTGGGAAGGGATGAAGAAACTGAAAAAAGGAAAAAGTCAAGTTTCTATGGGCGGTTTTGGTCTAAGAGAAAATTGAAGTGTGTATATACAGTATAGACTCCTTTGCAACAGTTGGAAACAGTTTTGTCAAGTTTCGAACACCACAAATAAGGCAAGTACCAACTAGCACGTGAGAACAAGAGTTTCAGTAATTTCTGTTCTTTAAGTGGGGGTTTGGAGTTTGGACATAAGAATAAATTTCCGAAAAAAAGTAAAAAAAAAAAAAATTAAAGTAAAATAGTATTTAAAAATTAAATTTGTGTTTGGACATAAATATAGTTTTGGGTTATTTTTGAATTTTTGTGAATGATCTGAGTAAAAAATTTGAAAAAAAAACTTTTGGAATTTTTTATTTTTGAAAAATTTCAAAATTCATCTTCAAATGAAAATTAAAAATTTTATGGCCAAACACTGATTTCGAAAAAAAGTGAAAAAAATTTCATGGCCAAATGGGCTCATTATTCCAATAGGAGCTAAAATATTTTATACTAATATGTAAAAGTATTTATAAATAAAATAATTAGAAGATAATTTTAGTATATAGTTTTGTTCAAAAAAGTTTGAAACGATCGTGACTCATGAGGCGTTATTATTTTATAGTATCATGATATGTAAGTTAATTCTTTAATTCGTGTCCTTTGCCAGAATCATTTTCTTAAAAGGTATAATATACTTATGTAAATTTTACCAATTATAAAAATAATTTAGATATTAAGAAATCATGGGAATCCTCATAAATTCAAATTGCAGGAAAAGATCATAGGTGACGCAAGTGGAAAATCCCCAAACCGGCTAGCCGAAAACTGCGAGCTATGGTTGTGATTAAAGAAGCCAATAGGTTGATAGCATCAAATAATATCTGTTGCCGTCATGCAACAATTTGGGGAAGAACATGTCAACTTGTGTTACAGTTGCACTGCACTGATTCTAATTAATAATCTGATCTTTATCTCACACCCAAGAGTCTTCACTTACTTGTGCACTGCCCGGGCCCCTCTCTCATTATCTTGCCATCTTTAAAACAACGGTTAAGATTTGTCCTTTTACTATCATAAATCGTTTTTATTTACCCTTCATTTAAGTTTTTTATTCAAAAACATTCCTACCGTGCATATTTATCCCTTACACGTTAAAATCACCCTCCCAACTTTTAAAATCCACATGGCATTCCCTTATTGGACCAACTGACCCGCCTCATTTTTTTTAACTCAAACCTGCCCGATCCACAACACCCATCGTTAAAAAATCTTTTTCATCTGAGTATCTCCTTCTCTCTATCTGCTAAAGATTGAGATAACGTCTAGTTCAGTTAATCCTTCAGGTAGCTGCTTCTTTAAATCGTTCATCGCATCCAGAAACCCCTCCATTTCTTCCTTTGTTCTTGGAGTATTGGCTGATAATGATGGTAAAAGATTACCGGAGGTCTTTGTAGATTCGGTCACTGCCACATCATTATTCTTTCTTTCACAAGTCTCATTAACAGCTCCCCCAATCTTACACACAACAAGCAGTCCTGGAGTGATTGAATCTGATGCTTTAAGTCGATAATCAAATCGAGCTTAGAACTTAACAGCTCCCCTAATTTCCCCAAGAACCAATAGAGAAATCCTAATCCATTTGTTTTGGGGAAGCTATAACATGAAGAATCTCGAACTTTAATAAGAAAATAATGTCTTCCCCATCTGTCACGTTCCATGGTGATGCATCCATAAGTTGAAACCATACTTTTCTGATCTCTACCTTGATAGACTCAATCTCTTGTGGCAAATCGGATGGAAAAAAGATTTTTTAACGGATGGGTGTAGTTTTGTTGATGGAATCGAGCGGGTTTGAATTTAAAAAATGGGGCGGGTCAGTTGGTCCAATAAGGGAATGCCACATGGATTTTAAAAGCTGGGAGGGTGGTTTTAACGTTTAAGGGATAAACATGCACCTAATATATAACGGTAGGGATATTTTTGATAAAAAAAATTTAAACGGAGAATAAATAAAGCTCATTTATAATAGTAGAGGGTAAATTAGACCCGTAGCCGGAAAGACTTCCTGTTTCAAATATTAATGATTTTGATAAATTAGATTTGTTTTAAATTATTTTACGGTTTAAAATAATATAAAGAATGTCTTACTCTTGATTTCTTTTACAATGTCAAAAGACTCAGAAGAAACTAATAGAAGGAGTCCATACTCACATGGTCGCTTTATTATCTAAGATTATCTATTAAAGGCATTTTTCTTTCGTTTATAACTATAAAATTACTTAATTATGCCTATAGCACTCAGAAGTAAAAAGGTCACTAAACTATATTTTTTAAACTTTTGATTGTCATATACCTATTTTAAACTCTAAATTATCAACTTTTGTCTTCTTTTTAATTTTTTTATTTTCTAATATCTTATTTTCTAAAAATTTTGTATTATGGACTTACCTATATAATAAATAAATATTTTTATAAATACAAAAATAAAATAATATTTAAGCATATATAATGTTGGAATAATAAAATATTGAGCATAGTAAAACAATTAATTAGAAAAATTTATTCGTAATAATAATTTTAACAAAAAAAACTCAAAAAGTTTGTTTACACAATTGAGAATGAAAGAAAGTAAAAAAATTAAATATATATTCCATGCACGTACTATAAAATAATTATTTAAAATAAAAGTATTTTTATAGTATACATTATATATTCTTAAAAACTATATTCAATTATATTATTATTCCGACATTATATATGCTATAAGACTAATTTTTTATTTTTTAAATAAAATTTATTTGTTATATAGTTAAATCCATAATGTTGATTAAAAAGAAAAAAAATCATAATATTTAAAAAGCAAAAAAAATGAAGATAAAACTTGATAATTTAGAGGGTAGAATAAGCAATCAAATATTTGAGGAATATGATCGGGTGATATTCTGAATGTTAAAGGCATAGTTAAGTCAGAGGCGGTCCTTCCATAAAGCAAGTAAAACAACCACTTTAGGTCTCATATTTGTGAGGGGCCATTTTTTTTGTTACACCTAATAGACATGTATAAGTTTAAAAAAGAGTTATGTAAAATGAAAAACTTTGATTTCTTTCTTTAACAAATATAAAGAAGAAGGATTTGCAACTAATATGATTTCTACCAAGGAAATTGCACTTGAAATGAATACCGAACCCGAATTTTGCAAGAAACGTGTAATATATAGGAAGTAACAATTTGATGCGCATGTTGATAATGAAATCTCAAAATCTTTCAAATAGTCTTTTAAAGTTGATTACTTTTATACATAATAGACAAGGCTATTTTTTCATTTCAAAATAGATTTGAACAATTGGAAACATATGAAAATATTTTTGGTTTTTCTATTTGGCAGTAAAAACTAACATCACTAGATGTTGGAAATTTGAAAAATATATTGCCTTAATCTTGAATGTTCCTTAAAGCATAATAATCAATTCGATATTGATGGTCTAGATTTATTTTCTAAGTTAAAAATATTAAGAAAAATAGTACAATTAGAAAATAACAGTTTACTTGATATAATTAATCAAATAGAAAGATTTAATTCTTTTTCAAATGCCTAAATTGCTTATGGAGTAGTGTTCATAACTCATGTTACTGTTGTTTCAGCGAAAAGAAGTTTTCAAAATTAAAATTGATAAAGTCTTATCTAAGAACAACCATATCACAAGAAAGGTTAAATGGCTTAGCGATATTGTCAATTGAGAAATACTTATTAGGAGTTATTGATTATAAGAAAATTAGTCTAACCTACGCCGGTGTGACAACGGCAGGGGCGAGAGGCAGAGGTGGTGGCCAAGGAAGAGGAGGAGACCGACCATGGAAGATATCGATCGACAATTTTGAAATTACAGCTGGAAACAATGAAGATTCAAAGAAAGATGAGGAAGATGTAATAAAAACAACACATGCAAACAAGGGATCAGCAGCTAAGACTCAAGTAGAAGCTTCAGCTGGAACTCACAAGTCCCAATTGAGCTCAGATGTAGCTTTGAAGGAACGAGATCTAGGAAGGGAAGAAACTAAAGCGATTGAGGTCAACTCACAGTAGCAAACCAATGGAACAGTAACACTAGCTGAAGAGAGCAAGGAAGAGGCAAAGGTGGAGGAGAAATCAGCATGGGCAAGCTTATTTGCGAAGAACAGAGCAGCAGAAAATGGTATGAAACTAACCTATATTCCACCACAAGTGATTGATGGCCAAGTTATTGTTCAATTAGATAAGGAAGAGGTTGAAAGAGAAATGAAAAAATAGAAAGGGGCTTTAATTGCATATGTACTGGGAGATTTACCGGGATATAATGTAATGAAAAGGTATAAAGAAGCTAATTGGAACTCAATTCAAGATCCAGATCTATATATGCATGAGGATGGTTATTACATCATCAAATTTAAGACGATGAATGATATGCAAGAGATTTTGTTTGCTGGACCATACATAATTAATAATAGACCTATTATTCTTAAACAATGGACAACTGATTTTGATTTTGAGAAGGAATTCCCCACTGAAATTCCTCTATGGATTAGATTTCCAAAACTTACACTGAACTGGTGAGGTGTGAAATCACTAAGTAGAATAGCAAGTTCAATTGGCATGCCTATGTATGCTGATGAGTGTACTGCCAAACAATTGAAAGTATCATATGCTAGGATGCTAATAGAGGTGGATGTAACAAAACCTCTGAAGGATGAAATAACTGTTGAAGAACCAAATAGGAGGACCTTCTTGCAGCCAATTAACTATGATTGGAAACCAAAATTCTGTGAAACATGCCAAGTCATTGGGCATAACTGCAAGCAAGAAGGGAGAGGACAGAATCAATATGGTGCAACTATGAATGAGAAGAGAAAGCCAAAGAAGATAACGCAACAATGGGTGACTAAAGAGAAAGCAAAGACAAAACAAGCAGAAGAAGAACCTATGCCAGAACAGGAACTAATCATGCAACAACAGGAGACCATAAGGGTAATGGAAGCTGGACAAGGTTCAGGTGTGATAAAGATACATATGCCAGTATTGCATGAAGATCAAACACCAAAGTTTATCAGTAAAAATCAAGAGGTGGAGAGGACAAGTCCAGAGTTTAATGATATTAATTTTTCAGTGCTTGGGTCAGTTCCATTGAGGAATGGGTTTCAATTACTGAGTAGAGAGGGAAATGGTGCTCACACTATATCTCATGATATAGGAGGTAAGGCAAAGAGATCAATATGAATTGGCTAGTGTGGAATATAAGGGGATTGAATAAAAGATATAAGTAGAAAAAAGTGAAGAAAATCCTGAAAACAAAAAAAAAATAGGAATAACTGCTATTGTTGAAACAAGGGTCAAGGAGAATAAAGTTGGAATTATTACCAGAAATATAGCCACGGGATGGAATAGTTTGTGTAATTATTCATCTGCTAAAAATGGGAGGATATGGGTACTATAGGACACAAACAACTATCAGGTAGTTAAGCTGAAGGAGATTGCTCAGATGATGCATTGTGAAATTACAGGAAGTGCATATCAGATTGACTGCTTGGTGACTATCATATATGGTTTCAATACAATTGAACAAAGGAAAGGGTTATGGAAAGATCTGAAGACATTAGCTCAAGGTATTACAAGACCTTGGCTAGTGATAGGTGATTTTAAAGCAATGTTCTATTCAGCAGACAGAGATAAAGGCAATCCAGTACAGCAAGCTGATATTCAAGATTTTGTTGATTGCATTCAGATTGCTAACCTAAATGAATTGATATGAAAAGGGGATTACTATACATAGACCAATATACAAAGAGTGGGAGATAGAATTCAAAGAAGAATTGATAAATTATTTGGGAATTATGAATGGATGATGAAATAGGGTAATATAGTAGTGGAATATGAATTGCCAGGGATATCAGATCATGCACCAATGTTGCTGACCATGGGAGATGAGCAAAATAACACTAAGTGTCCATTTAGGTTCTTCAATGTTTGGGCAGAGCACAAAGAATTTGATCAAATAGTAGAAGAAACTTGTAAACAAGTTAAAGACCCTTCGCTCATGAGGGGAATATGGAGAAAACTGAAAACATTAAGAACCAGACTGAAGATATTGAACAATAGGGAATTCAGAAATGCTGAACAGAAAATGAAAGAAGCAAAGAATGAAATCAGAAGAGTGCAGAGCGAGATGCAATAGAATTATACTGATACTATGCAGTAACAAGAGAGAAATTCACTACAAAAATTAGAAAAGTGGTCAATGGTTGAAGAGAGTATTATGAAGCAGAAGGCGAGGAATAAATGAATACAGCTAGGGGGATTCAAACACTAAGTATTTCTCAGCAGTAATAAAGGAAAGGAAGCACAGAAAGCAAATAAAGGAACTGATAGCTTTGAATAGAAAGAAGATAAATAAACCAGCTGAGGTTAAAGAGGAGATAATTAGATTCTATAAGAGTCTAATGGGTACAACAGCAAAAAGACTTATAGCAGTAAATAGAACAGTAATGAAGGAAGGGCCAATACTGACTCAAGAACAACGGCTGTTGCTATGTAAAGAAGTTACTAAACAGGAAGTGTTTGAGGAGCTAAAAGGAATAAGAGATAATAAGGCTCCAAGGATAGATGGATATAATGCTGTATTTTTCAAAAGAGCATGGCACATTATCGGTTGTAAGGTGACTACAGCAATACAGGATTTTTTCTCAACAGAAAGATTATATAGAGCCATAAATTGTACAGCCATCATTTTGATACCCAAGGTAGATAATCCAGCATCAGTCAAAGAGTATAGACCAATAGCATGTTGCACATTGTTATACAAACTGATTTCAAAGATCTTGGTAGCAAGAATGCAGAAGGTAATTGAGGGGATCATATGTGAAACACAAGCTGGTTTTGTCCCAGGCAGGAAAATAGGTGATAATATTATATTGGCTTATGAACTAGTAAAGGGATACACAAGAAAACATATATCACCAAGGTTCATAATTAAAATAGACATACAGAAGGCTTATGATTAAGTAGAATGGAGCTATTTGGAACAAACTATGAGGTTGCTAGGATTCCTTGAAAGATATATAACTTAGGTAATGGAATGTGTTAGAACAGTGAACTATACTATTATGGTGAATGGAGAGCCAACTGATCCTTTCAATGCTAAGAAGGGGCTTAGACAAGGGGATCCTATGTATCCATTTCTATTTGCAATTGCAATGGAGTACTTAAGTCGAACCTTAAAGGAAATGGCAGAGAGGAAGCAATATCATTACCATTTCAGATGTGCCAAATTAAAACTAACTCATTTATGTTTTGCAGATGATCTTTTAATATTTTCCAGAGGAGATGTTGAATCAGTAACTGAGGTTCTTCAAAGTTTTAATCAATTCTCAGATGCCTCAGGATTGCAAGTAAACATAGGGAAAAGCTTCATTTATTTTGGAGGGGTGGGACAACAAGACCAAGAGCAAATACTACAAACACTGAGATTTACGAGAGGAATGTTACCTTCAAATACCTGGGAGTTCCACTGTCAACTAGAAAGCTAACAATGATACAATGGAAGCCTCTCATTGAGAAGATTGTAGCAAGAATCACTTCATGGACAGCCAAAAACTGTCATATGCAGGAATAAGTCAATTGATAAATAGTGTTTTGTTCCAGTCCTATTGGGCTCAATTGTTCATATTTCCAACAAAGGTGATGAAAGATGTGGAAAGCTTTTGTAGAAGCTATCTTTGGACAGGTAACAATGTCATTACAAAGAAAGCACTAATCAGTTGGGAAAGAGTATGCTGTCCTGAAAGAAATGGAGGATGGAACCTCATTAATATGAGAATCTGGAACAAGGCAGCCATAATCAAACTGTACTGGAATTTGCAAAGAAAGAGGATAGGAGGTGGATAAGGTAGATTCATGTATACTATATAAAACGACAACAGATGGAGCAAGTAAAAGTTCCACAACAAGCAAGTTGGATGGTGAGGAAAATAATAGAAGCCAAACATCTACTAGAACAGAACAATGTACATATTTGCAGGGAAAAAGGGGTCATTAAACATATATACCTTCAGCTACTAGGTGATCAACCAAGAATGTCATGGAAGTGTTTGATGTTTGGGAATGCTGCAAGGCCAAAAGCTAAGTTCACTGTGTGGTTGCAAATACAGAATAGGCTGCTTACTGCTGACAGGTTGAACAAATGGGGAATGCAGGTAGAAGGCAAATGCAGTTTATGCTAGAGAGAAGAGGAAACAAGTGACCATCTCTTTGTGGAGTGTGATTATACGAAAACAGTGATGCAAAAGCTGATGCACTGGACACAAAATCAAAGTATAGCACATGAGCTACTTGGGAACAACATGTGCATGAGGTGATCAAGAGAGCTAAAGACAAATCAAAAGAAGCTCAACTATTCAAGTTGTTATATTCTGAAGTAGTACATAGTATATGGATTGAGAGAAACAGAAGGATTTTTTAGAAAACAAGTACAAGTTGGGAGAGGATAGCCAAAGAGATAGCTTGTGTCTGTTGTGTACGAGCTCCTCCTAGATTAGCTGATATAGTTCAAAGATATAGATTTTAAAAAAATAGGAAGAGTAAGAGCATCATGTAAATATGATAGTTTTAGTTGTGTTAGCTAGCTATGGTACTTTGTAAAGTTTACTGGTGATTAATAAAAAGTTAGTTATCAAAAAAATATATTATAAGAAAATTACTAATAACTTTGTGTCTAAGAAAAGCTAAAAAAAATAGACTTCAAATAAATAATTTAAAAAAATTAAAAGTAAAGGCCCCTCGTAAGTTTGGCTTTAGGCCACAAAATTCGTCGGGCCGCCTCTGAGTTAAGTGATTTTGCTGTTACAAACAAAAGAAAAATAATTCTGCTATATAATTTTGAATAGTTGAGTGACCATCCAAGTAATAGACTCATAGTTGAAACCAATGAGCATCAAGTGGAACTCGAATAGTAGTACTAACTATAAAGAGTGCGAAATTAAATATGCATCCAAGCATCCAGCCCTTAATTTGTCTTAGGGATAGAATCAAGGGACTGACAAAATTTAATGAGATTTATTCGTAAACCAAAAGTAATTAACGCGGTCTCTGATGTCTGTATTAAGAAACGAATTAGGGAAAAATCATTTGGATGGGTAAACCAAAAACTACGAAAATATGTTCCATACGCAAGAGAATTGAGCCTCCCCCCCCCCCCCCCCCAACCCCCAGCATTCTGTACCTACTACACCTTTTACGCACAACGGCAGTCACCGGCAAGGCAAGCTTTGCGCAAAATCTTGTGTTGCTGCCGGCGCGCCGCAAAGCAGATTCCTTCTGACCTTATCTTTTTTCTATTTTCTTTTATTCTTTGAGTTCATATCATAGTACAAGCAAAGTTAAATTAATTTCGTACAGCACTTATTAAATGATGTCTATGCTCCTGATTTGCTGCATTTTACGAGTTTCCTTTCGATTTCATGTCATTGTACCAGCAATTGAAATGATTTAGTAGCCCTTGATACATTAACATGCTCCTAATCCAGTGTCATTTTACTCTTAATAATAATATTAAACAAAGATAGCTAGTTCCTAAGCAGGGATTGGACACCCATGTGGGGAGCATAGTAGTACTAAATATTTCCACATAAAACAATATGGCTATGAATTATGATATCGTGTGTCCATACTCCCTACATAACTTATTCTAGAAATTTTTACCTCTGACACCTTATTTATTTTAAATAAATACTATTTAAAATAATAATATTCTATAGATATCTTTTAAGATTTATAGCAAAATATTTAATTTTGGTTACCTCCTAGCCCTAAACAACTAAATACGCTATTCAGTTACACTATTTTTTTTCTCTCTCTACTTTGATACATCTCATTCTCTTCCCCCATTTCCTAAAAACACGATGCTCAATCTCAAAATTCCTCTCACCCACACTATTTTCTTTTCTTCTCGGAACCAAACAGAAAATCGCTCCCGCCGGCGGAGACACATGAATCGGGCCGGAAAGCATTGTTTGTCTTCCATATACCAGTTTGCATTTGTTTATTATTACGCAAGTCAAATCAACATTTTGAACTGAAATATTTGCCTTCGTTCCCAGCTTTTGTCCATATTTGTTGGTTCCTAGCTACTTTCTCTTTTTCTTTCTTTTATCTTAATACTAGTAAAGAGAAGGACCTGAATCTTAGAATATTATCTCTATTTTTGAACGACGGCGGATTCATCGGAAATTAGGGTTTGTTCTTGAACAAAGACGATGGAGTTTGGGCTGAGCAACTTGAATTTTCTGTTAATATATTTCAATGTATCACGTTGTATTTTCATGTATTTCATTGTATTCATTATCTTTTTTTCATTGTAATTCAATGTATCTCGTTGTATTCCACGTATTTTATTGTATCCACTGTCTTTTTTTTCATTGTATTTCAATGTATCCCGTTGTATTCTATGTATTTCATTGTATTCACTGTCTCGCTATATGCCATGAATATATTCATATGTTTTTTTTAATTAATATAATTTATGTATTTAGATGTATTATATAATATCTCTGAAGATTGCTATGTTTTGGGGGTATTTTTCGGTTGAGAATCTTTTTTTATAACTGAAAATACAAAATTTGTGTGTTATAATTGAGTTTGTTGAGTTATATTAGGAGTCTATTATGTTAATTGATTCACTTTCCGTTTTAAAAATAGTGTAATCCCCTATTTCACGTCGTGAATACAGTCGAATACGGTCGAATACAATAATCTGTCCAGCTGTAATCTCATGTTTCGCTCCATGAATACAGTCGAATACACTCAAATACAACAACTGATTAGCTGGACTTCCCTGATTCACGCCTATTTTTGCTACTGTATTCATAAATACAATAGCTTAAATATATCAAATACATCTTATAACCATAGAAAAGCTATCTGTAATCCGTAATATAGCAAATAGTATCTATAGATGGCTAATTACTATTAAAAGATAGTGCTTTATGAAAATTTCTCTTCTTATTTTCAATAACCCCAACAAAACTAAATCTCCTTTTCAATAACCCTTGTTAAACGTTTGGCCCATTACCCACCTTGTCGTTACACTCTTGGATCAGATACCCCCTTAATTCTAAACGGCTGCCACAGTGGATAAGTTATCCACTCATAATTTGACATGTCGAATTTTAGTTTACACCC